TCTTCCGGGGAGCCCTGTATATCTCATTCCATGAGGAATAAGGGCTCTGTCGAAAGAGGAGGCTTTTCCACCATTTAGCCCCATCTCTTCTGAAAAAAACGCGGAAAAAGCTGTGCAAAATGTGGCGTGTATTTTGTGTAGCTTTTCCTGCAAAAATGTTGCCGTCTAGACCTAGCCTCAGAGTGAGACACTGACCTCGGGGCAAGGATTTACAGCTGGGGTGGGCAAGATCTGGCAGTGGAGCTGACCTACAGGCCACCCCACTGGGGTCTCAGGAACAGAGCAGCTAGCTGCTTCTGCTGCACAGCAGGCCACAGCTTTAAGTGGCTTACTGCTCCCTGTAGCTCCACGCCTGCAGCAATCCCAGGATGCCCAAAATGGCTGGCTGCTCTCTGCTCCAGGCACCAGGCAGAGGAGAAGGCTTTGTGTACTGCCCCTCCCTCCACCACCGCCCCCCCAGCAAAATCTCTCAGCTTGGAATCAGACCAGTGCGAGCTCAGAAACTGGCCAGTGGGAGCTGAGAAATTTTGTCAGAGGCAGGGTCAGTGCGCGAAACCTCCCCCCTCCTCCTTGGTGCCTGGAGCAGAGAGCAGCCAGCCATTTTGGGCAGCTTGGGGCTGCAGCAGGCGTGGAGCCTGCCTCAGGGTACATCTACACTGCACGCTTATTTAGAAAGAGCAGCAGTGGAGTGTCTACACACAACTTACTTTGAAATAGCTATTTCAGAACAGGCGTTATTCCTTGGAGAATGAGGTTTACATATTTCAGAATAAGCCAATAATTTCAAAATAACAGAATGACTGTGTAGACACTCCCATAGTTATTTTGAAATAATGCTAGTTAAGAGACAGAGGAGGTAGCAAAGACCTGGATTTTAACAGGGTTCAAAAAAGAACTAGATACATTCATGGAGGTGAGGTCCATCAATGGCTATTGGCCAGGACGGGTAAGGGATGGTGTCCCTCGCCTCTGTTTGTCAGAGGCTGGAAATGGATTACAGGAGAGGGATCATGTGATGATTACCTGTTCTGTTCATTCCCTCTGGGGTATCTGACATTGGCAGACAGAATACTGAGCTAGCTGGACCTTTGGTCTGACCCACTATGGCTGTTCTTATGTTCTTATACTCTTAAGTGTTGTCCCTTATGTTGAGCACAACAAGCCATTTTATCTATGTTGTATATTGTGTACCGACTCTTTAACACAACTCATTCTGATTGGGGCTTCCATTGACACAGACTGGTCCCAGCCAGCCCTGAGCAACCCATTAGGCGGTTTCCTTGTTGTCATATGGTGCCTTCTCTTGCAGAGCTGTTTTTCCCAAGGGTCAGTCCCTGGATGGTGGCTCTGTGGGTGAGCCTGGCTGTTCTCATTCCCCCGGCTGGCTACTGCTTCTGGAGGCAGCACAGAGCAAAAGGTAAAGTTAGAAGGGGCAGAAAGGGGAGAGAATGAGAGATTCTCTGCGGTTGGTTTTTTGTTTGTCTTTTCTTCTTTTTAAAGAGACAAAACAAGGCATCTTGCTACTTTAAGACTAACAAATGTGTTAGGGTTTTGGGGCACTGACTAGTGGGCTGGGGCTGCATCCCAGCCCTGCACAAGCTGCCATGCCACCCTGAGAGAGAGCGATACAGCTCCCCGAGGTACCCCACCCAGTACATACACCCCTCCTGAGCCCCCCAAATACCCTCCAAGTGCACCTCCTCTCCAGTATTCCTCCTCCCCCAGCAGTGTCCTGAAATATGGTAGCCATAAGCCCATCTCACCATTAAGCCCCAGAGTGATCCACAAAGTGGCTGGAGAAGGCTGTCTGGACAGTGGTCTTGCTGACAGGCTCCAGTCTGACAGGTGTTTTCAGACCTCATCTTCCAGGACAGCACCCAAATAAAATCTGGCCAGAGGAGATGGTGCCGCCTCCCTTCTAACTTTTAACCTAGTGGTCAGAGTACTCACCTGAAAGGGTTTAATTCCCCCCTCCTCTGGGTGTCAGATTTTGGTTTAGCATCTCCCCTCAGAAGAGTGGTCTCACCTCAGCTCCCACCTCCATCTCTTCTAGGACTAACTACTGTCATTGGGACTCAGCCTATGTCTACACTCCAGAGTTTTTTCCGGGATCCTGGAGATATCCCAGTAAAACTCTGCTGCGTCCAGGGAATGTGTCCACTTTTTTGGAACAGTTTCCGAAAAAGCAGACGCATTCTTTCGGAAGCCCTGTATTCCTCATTTTATGAGGAATAAGGCATCTTCTGAAAGAGGAGGTTTTCCCCACATTTTGCCCCATGTAGATGGGGCCAAATGTCAGAAAAGCCTCTTATGAAAAAAAAGCAGAAAAAGGTACACAAATTGCATTTTGCAATTTGTGTATCTTTTTCTGGAAAAAGAACACAGTGTAGACATAGCCTGAAAGAGAGAGACGCCATGGCACCCTTGGGGAGGGCCCACACTTGCTATGCAAGAGACCCAGAAATGCTTATTGATACATAGTGGGACAGCTGTCTCAGGAGAGACTGAGGGATCCCCACCTCAGAATATCCCAGGGCTCAGTGGTTACGGGGAGGCCCCTATCAAATGCTTTGTCCCCTGCAGGTAAAGGGGAAGTTGAACCTGGGTCTCTCAAATAAAGGTCCTGACCACCGTGCTAGAAGTCAGGTGGAAGCTCCTCTCAGTCCAGTTTGCATGGATTTAGACAGTACGCAAATTGCGTATCTTTTTTCAATGTTCTTTCAAAAGAGGCTTTTCCGAAATTTAGCACATCTACAGGGAGCCAAATTTCAGAAAAAAAATGCTCTTTCAACACATCCCTTATGCATCGTAAAATGAGGTTTACAGGGATGGCAACAAAGTGCATTTGCTTTCTCAAAAAAAATTCAGAAAAGCAGACATGTTCCTTAGATGCAGAATTGCTTTTTTGGGACACCTCCAGTATCCTAGAAAAGTGCTGCAGTCTAGACATAGCCTTACTGATTTAGACTTCTTGGTTCCCTTCTGTCCTCTCCCTGGAGCCCTTGGCCTGGGAGCCCCTAAAACAAAGTGCCTGCATTACAGTTCCACCTCCGCCACAGCCCAGGAGAGCTGGCCCTGTCAGGGGGCTCAGTCTCAGTCCCACCTGTCCTTGTGATTTCATTGAATCAGGAGCATGTGCAGCCCCTCAGTACAGCCAAGCTCCGATATTCCAAGACCTTGAGTCAGGCCTCCTGACCTAACAACAGCGATTTGGGGTCATTCTATTTGCCTTCAGATTCCACAGCCTTTAGGGGTCACGTTTTCCACCTCTTCTCCCAACCACAAAAGCTAGGAACTTAGTTTTTTGGGAAGCAAAAGCGGGGAGTCTCCCATGATCACATGACTGCAGAAGACAGAGCCCTAAGGAAAACACCAGCCATCTTGTGATTAAAATTAGGGAAGTGGCAACCCTGAGCCCTGCTCAACGGTTCCTCTTTACCTGGAAGAGGCATGGCCAAAGCTGCACACAAGCAACTGCTCTGCGTGCAGAAACCTCAGCTCAGACTCCCAGATGAACTCTCACCTCTTCCAAGGGTGAAAATAACTGGGATTGCTCACTGGTGATATTACATCACCCCCCTGGCAGTGGGGCAGGGCACTCAGGGTACGTCTAGACTACATGGCTCCATCGACGGAGCCATGTAGATTTGTTTGTTCAGCAAAGGGAAATGAAGCCGCGATTTAAATAATCGCAGCTTCATTTAAATTTAAATGGCTGGCCTGCTCTGCCGATCAGCTGTTTGTTGGCAGATCGGGGCAGTCTGGATGCTCCCCTGTCGACATGAAAGCCCTTTATTGACCTCCCCGGTAACCGGTAAACCTCATCCTACGAGGCATAATGGGGAGGTTGATAAAGGGCTTTCAGGTCAGCATGGGAGCGTCCAGACTAGCGCACTGAGCCGACAAACAACTGATCAGCTGTTTGTCGGCTCAGCACGGCAGTCATTTAAATTTAAATGAAGCCGCGATTATTTAAATCACGGCTTCATTTCCCTCTGCCGATCAGTCTAATCTACATGGCTCCATTGATGGAGCCCTTAAGTTTAGACACACTCTCAGAGACCATGGGTGGGTGAATGCAAGTGGCTCAGAGCAAAGGGTTAGGGGGAGGGAGTGCAGCAGTCAGAGCAGGGAGCTGGGTGGCAGGGGGTGCAAGAGCTGGTGGTGTGGGCACCTCAGAGCCAAGGCAGGGAGCTGGGAATGTATATAGGAGAGACTGAAGGAGGGGAAGCAGGGATAGTTCTGGGGGTGGCTCAGGGCTAATGGGGGGCAGGCCCAATAGCAATTGGGTTACCTGGCTGATGGCATTCACCTCCGC